ATTGGTGGATTATTAGCTGGCTGGAGACAGAACAAGGAGAGAGGTAAGACCACCTTCAAGATATTCATATGCTGAATTGATTTATATTGCCCTCCTTGCAGGTACATAAGTGCTAAGGTCTGAACCTGAGACTTACCAAGAGGCCATAGAGTCTAGAGATAGGGACAAATGGAGAACTGCCATGGAGGAGGAAATGCAGTCCCTAAAAGTAAATGACACATGGTCCCTGGTTCCAAAACCAAGAGACCAAAAACTAACCCAATGTAAGTGGCTCTTTAGAATAAAAGATGATATTTATATAGCTGATCCCCCTAAGTATAAAGCGAGACTTGTTGCAAAGGGGTATAACCAAAGGGAGGTTATAGACTTCAATGAAGTCTTTTCCCTTGTGGTTAAATATAAGACAATCAGAATGATGTTATCAGCTGTAGCCCACCAAGACCTAGAACTTAATCAGTTGGATGTCACCACTGCTTTTTTGCATGGAAACCTAGAGGAACAGATTTATATGAGTCAACCAATGGGTTTTGTTGACCCTAATGCTCCAGACCATGCCTGTCTCCTTAAAAAATCCCTATATGGCTTAAAACAGTCCACTAGGGAGTGGTACAAGAGGTTTGATACCTTTATAGTGAGTATATGTTTCACTAGAAGTAAATATGATAGTTGCTTCTACTTCAAAATGAATAATGACATTCCTATATACTTACTACTATATGTTGATGATATGTTGCTAATAAGTAAGTCTAAATCCCTAATTAGTGATCTAAAGAAGAAACTCAGTTCTGAGTTCAGCATGAAAAACTTAGGGCGTGCCAAGAAAATACTAGGTATGGTGATAAATAGGGATAGAAGAAAGTGTGAACTAAGGCTGCACCAACAATCATACTTGCTAAAGTTAGTTACAAAGTTTGGCATGGCAGGTGCCAAACTAGTCTCAATGCCCTTGGCAAGTCATTTTGTACTCAGTAAATCTCAATGTCCCAAGATTGAGGCAGACTTGTTGAAAATAGAGTATGTCCCTTATGCAAATGTTATGGGGTCCTTGATGTATGCAATGAAAAGTACTAGGCCTGATTTAGCATTTGCCATTTTTATGTTAACTAGGTACATGTCTAACCCTGGTATGGAGCATTGGACAGCCTAGAAATGGACGTTAAAATACATAAATAGTTCATTGTGTGTTGGATTTGAATGTTGTAAAATGACTTCTTCACTTGATCTTGTTGGTTTTGTAGATGCTAATTTTGCAAGGGACAAAGATACTAGAAAATCAACCACAACCTATTTCTTCACATTGAGTGGAAACAATATAAGTTGGAAGTCTCAATTGTAGCCAATTGTGGCTCTTTCCTCAACCGAATCTGAGTATATTATAGTGACTGATGTGTTTAAAGAAGCTTTGTGGCTAAAGGGAATTTTGACAGAAGCCAACATAATTAGTGGGAAGGTAACAGTTTACTCAGATAGCCAAAGTGCTATACATTTGAGTAAGAACCCAGTGTACCATGAAAGAACTAAACATATGGATGTCTGCTATCACTTTGTGAGAAACCTTATTACCAAAAGAGTTATTGAGCTAAGGAAGATTGCTATAGAAGAGAACCCAGCAGACATGGGCACCAAAATAGTCACTACAACGAAATTCAAGCATTGCTTGAATTTGCTGTTTGTAAATAATTTGGAGTGACTAGAGCTATGAGGGAATGGGACTGAGCAAACTACACTAATGAACTGTTTTCAAGTACTTCCAAGGTGGAGATTGTTGAAGTGGAAGCTTGAAAACGGTGTAGTATTGGGTTAAGTCGAACGGCATTGTTTCATGGAAGTGTTAAGTGAATCCAGACCACAAATTTTTTCTTCAAGTCCAACGGCCATCATTCAGCCTCCAGGTCAACCGTATATAAACCTAGGTTTTTCCCCAAATTGAAGATTCAACTCTTTTCTCTCCATTATTCGATTAAGAAGCTAGGGTTTGTGGAGTTCTTAATCAAGATTGGTGTAATCAGTTAGACTTTGAGTGATTAGGGCTGTAATCATTCTTGGGAGGGTGTTGTTCTCTCGGATTAGAGTTTCTAGGTGAGTTTCTCTAAAGGGCTGGTTACAAGATATCTTGTATCAAGGGTGGGTGATTCGTTTAGATTGATTTAGCTGTGTTTGTAACTGTGATTCTTAGGTTAATAGTTAGTGTAGCAAGCTCCTCTCTTTTCGGAGCTCAACGTGGATGTAGCTTATCATATAAGGATAAGTGAACCACGGTAAATCACCATGTTATTTCTGTTCTTGTTTGATTGTGTGTGTGTTTGGTGTTTAGTAGAATTCTTTAATTTGCATAACATAGAGTATGAAGATTAGACTGCAATATCTGATTAAATTAAGATAATTTTAAACTTCCATGATGGAGAAAAATTAGTGCTTTCTACCGAGAACAATTCTCACCAAGTGATTTGTGGTCAGACTTTGGTAAATAACTATCTCAGTTAACAGTGCTAATGTTTGTAATGGGTTTCTGATTCTCTAATGATCTAGCTAGACTCCTTGTTTTACGATAAAATTTATTAATCATATCACTGAAAACAGCTTAAAACTGCTCGTTGTTTTTGCTAGTCCAAACAATCTTCGGAAACACCCGTTAGTAATTACTTTTATCTTGTTACCAATAAAAATTCCTCTCTGCAATGCAAGAAATTTCCATAACTTCAAGGGGGCGTTTGGTTGGAGGTTATGTGAGATTACTGGGGTTAAGTCATCTTGTATTACTTGATTACCATGTTTGGTTATCAAGTAATATAAGATACCAGTAATCTTCAAATACCAATAATGGTTACTATTGGTAATATTGGAGGTAATCTGATTACCTCAATTTTATTAGGTACTCTAAGATTATCAAGGTTATCTTTTTTTGTTACAATTCTATCCCTTATTAATAAAATTTTAGGACAATAATGCCCTTATTTTTAAATTTATTTACATGAATATAACTTTTACTATTTCACCCCAATTAATTAACTTTTTGGACAAAATTATCCTTGAATTCAAAACAAATTGCAGCCCACCCAAGCTACCACCCCCATCCACTTGCCGTCGTCGCCGCCGGAATGGTGCACGGATGGCCAAAAATGGTCGTCACGCACCGATATGGCTAGATCCGTCGATCTGGCTGTCAAAGGCCAGATCAATGGCTATTAATGGCCACGTCTGTGGCTGTCAACGGCCATCGATCTGGCCGTTGACAGCCAAATCTGTCACGTCTGGCAATTTTCGGCTAGATCTCTGGCCGGAAATGGCCATACGGCCCACGGAGGCCATTTCCTCCCATCTGTGTGCCATTAGGTTGCCGGTAGCCTGCGGTGGTTTCCGACGGCCGGCAGTGACTAGGTTGGTAGGGCTGCTTTGTTGATTTTCCAAACTTTTATTATAGGGTTCTTTTGCTAAGTTTTTAAATGCAGGGGGGTTATAATAACCAATATTAAAAAATAATATAATAATAATATTTAATTAGAGGACAATTCAGTAATTCAAATAACATATCCACTAATTTATTCCTTCCAACCAAACATAATATAACATACCCACCAATTAACTAAACACATTTTCCTAAAGATTCCCAGTAATCTTCAAAGTAATCTAATTTTCCAGTAATCCAATATTCCCTAAACCAAACGCCCCCCAAAGGTAATTTAAGGAAAAAAAAAGGAAAAAATTAGAGAAAAAAAAATTCTAATTTTAAGAATTGTACTGGAAGATAATTACTAATCAAATATACTACTATTTTTTCTCTCCAGACTTTGGTGATAGCTTCAAGCATTTTGATATTAGAATTACTGAGTTTAAGAGTGCAGGCAATCCAAAGTTACCGAATCTATCTCATATCCGGCAATAAGTTGTCAAAACACAGCGCAATATCAACGGATTCTGGAGCTGTTGGTGATGGGAAACATCAAACACCAAGGTCTTCAATTCTGTAATTACTAATCTAAGCCACTTGACATAAAGACGGTGGAGCTCAACTTATTGTACCATCAGGCAAATGGTTAACCGGCAGTTTTAATCTCACTAGTCATTTCACTCTTTATATTGATAAGGATACTATTCTTTTCGCATCTCAGGTACATAGTGATGCAGGGAACCAGAGGGTAACTCGTTCCCTCTAAGAATGGTGTGTTCAGCGGAGTTAAACAGACCGGTCAAACGAAGATAAACGTCCACACAGGACGGCATAAGCCCACCAATGACTGATTAATAAATGCCCACTAAGGATGGACGACGAACCCACACATGATTCTAAAGAGTGACCACAAAGATTACTTCAAAAATTTCTGTATATTTCTTCTCAAAAGTTGCGGTTATACTGTGAATAGTGCCCTTAAATAGGCGCACAAAAACCCTAACATAGTTTGATGCTATAAGAGAGTGTGTATGTGTTTTTTTAAATAAAGAACTAATTTTAATTATTCTAGTCAATTACTATGAAATATTGAAGGGAACCCTTATTTTAAGATATTACCAAATATACTCTCGATATAAGTTTTCATTTTCCAACAAATGTCTTTGACTTGGACTTAATTTGTTAATCACAATGCATATTTTTATACTTATATGATTATATTATTATGGACAGGATGAATAGGAATGGCCTATTGTTTCTGCGTTGCCGTCTTATGGTTATGGGAATTGAAAAGATTGTCGTAATGGAAGGTTCAATATAATGTCTCATTTTTTTGCACAAATTTGACTGATATTGTTACAGGTAACAATTAAAAATTTAAACTAATTTACAATACATTTAAGAATGTTTTATAGACAAAAACTTCAAACTAAAAAGTCCTTAATCTGGTTAGTTTGTTTCGTTCCAGGTAGATGTAACTTAAAAACCGCCCGTTATTTTTGGTGGTCCAAACATGAAATAACCTTAAAGAACAATTGGTTTTCTTCAATGTCTATATAAAGTTCCTTCTTCTATACATTTTCTTAAAACCAAATTAAGTTTTCAAATCAAAATGGAGATGTCTCCAAAATCAAGATCTTACCAGGTGAGGGTTTATATTTCCAATTTGTTGTCTACTTTGGCCGTTTAACATCATAATAATTCTAGTTCAATCTCATTATTACACGGAAAACACAACTACATGCAAAAATTTGTAATTAAACATACTTGATTTTGTTTTTCTAGAGATTATTGTGATTACCAGGTAATTAAATGTTTAAATTTCTAATTACTCCTCTTCTTCTTGCCTCAATCTCGTAACCTATCTTCATTTTCTCCAGATAATTACGATTGTCTCAAGCATTTTGATATTGGAACTGCTAAGTTTACGGGTAGAAGGAAGTAGCCAAGTGGAGTACCCCATCTCATATCCTGCGATAAATTGTCGCAAACACTCTGCAGTGTTGACTGATTTTGGAGGTGTTGGTGATGGAAAAACTTCAAATACCAAGGCGTTTAATTCAGCAATTGCCAATCTAAGCCAATTTGCATCAGACGGTGGAGCTCAACTTATTGTTCCTCCAGGTAAATGGCTAACTGGCAGTTTTAATCTCACTAGTCATTTCACTTTATATATTCATAAGGATGCAGTTCTTCTTGCATCTCAGGTATTTTTTATTTCATATGTGAGAAAATATAATTAAATAAATATGTATTATTAGATTTATCAACCATAATATATTACATGTACAGGATGAAGCAGAATGGCCTCATCTTGCGGTGTTGCCATCTTATGGAAGAGGAAGAGATGGACCTGGTGGAAGATTTAGCAGCCTTATTTTTGGGACAAATTTAACTGACGTTGTTGTCACAGGTAAAACTAATTAATAAGAATTTAAATCTACATTTTAGGTACATTTAATAATGTATTATTTAACTATCATGCATAGGTGGCAATGGTACGATAGATGGTCAAGGTGCACCTTGGTGGATCAAATACCGTAGCAACCAATTAAACATCACTCGACCCTATCTTATTGAAATCATGTACTCTAATCACGTCCAGATATCCAATATAACTTTAATTAATTCTCCATCATGGAACGTTATTTCAAAACAGCTTAAAACTGCTCGTTGTTTTTGCTAGTCCAAACAATCTTCGGAAACACCCGTTAGTAATTACTTTTATCTTGTTACCAATAAAAATTCCTCTCTGCAATGCAAGAAATTTCCATAACTTCAAGGGGGCGTTTGGTTGGAGGTTATGTGAGATTACTGGGGTTAAGTCATCTTGTATTACTTGATTACCATGTTTGGTTATCAAGTAATATAAGATACCAGTAATCTTCAAATACCAATAATGGTTACTATTGGTAATATTGGAGGTAATCTGATTACCTCAATTTTATTAGGTACTCTAAGATTATCAAGGTTATCTTTTTTTGTTACAATTCTATCCCTTATTAATAAAATTTTAGGACAATAATGCCCTTATTTTTAAATTTATTTACATGAATATAACTTTTACTATTTCACCCCAATTAATTAACTTTTTGGACAAAATTATCCTTGAATTCAAAACAAATTGCAGCCCACCCAAGCTACCACCCCCATCCACTTGCCGTCGTCGCCGCCGGAATGGTGCACGGATGGCCAAAAATGGTCGTCACGCACCGATATGGCTAGATCCGTCGATCTGGCTGTCAAAGGCCAGATCAATGGCTATTAATGGCCACGTCTGTGGCTGTCAACGGCCATCGATCTGGCCGTTGACAGCCAAATCTGTCACGTCTGGCAATTTTCGGCTAGATCTCTGGCCGGAAATGGCCATACGGCCCACGGAGGCCATTTCCTCCCATCTGTGTGCCATTAGGTTGCCGGTAGCCTGCGGTGGTTTCCGACGGCCGGCAGTGACTAGGTTGGTAGGGCTGCTTTGTTGATTTTCCAAACTTTTATTATAGGGTTCTTTTGCTAAGTTTTTAAATGCAGGGGGGTTATAATAACCAATATTAAAAAATAATATAATAATAATATTTAATTAGAGGACAATTCAGTAATTCAAATAACATATCCACTAATTTATTCCTTCCAACCAAACATAATATAACATACCCACCAATTAACTAAACACATTTTCCTAAAGATTCCCAGTAATCTTCAAAGTAATCTAATTTTCCAGTAATCCAATATTCCCTAAACCAAACGCCCCCCAAAGGTAATTTAAGGAAAAAAAAAGGAAAAAATTAGAGAAAAAAAAATTCTAATTTTAAGAATTGTACTGGAAGATAATTACTAATCAAATATACTACTATTTTTTCTCTCCAGACTTTGGTGATAGCTTCAAGCATTTTGATATTAGAATTACTGAGTTTNACCCTTAATCAATAATATGGCTATTTAGTTAACATTTCAAAACTTGATAGCCTTTTAATTAAATGTAAACTTCAAATGTCTTTTTAATAACTTCCCCCTATATATATATATAACTTTCAAGGTCTATGAACATAATTCCTTTTCTCATCCGAGGTGTGTGTATTCCAAGGCTGTTTTATTTATTTATTTATTTTAAATTGTGACACAATTTTTGAGACCTTGATATTAAAGTACTCTGAATGACCGAAATTCATTATAACTTGCACAATTAATGTACTTTGAAATGCAGGACATAAGTTAGATTAATCTTAACCATTCAATACATTAATCAAAGCTCCATTTCATTTACTCAAATAATTTTTGACAACAATATGGAATTACCAATAAAATTTGACGCCATTATAAGATATAGGCAACTAATACAAGAGTTTCTATTGAAGATTCCTTTAACATTTTAATTTGGATGGAAATTTAAAAAAAAAAAAAAAAAAAGTATTTTATTGGGATCTTTTAACTTAAATTCATGACTTAAATTAGAGAATACAAATTGATGACCATTGATTTATTGGAATCTAACTAACAGATATGATATGGAAGTTGAAGGGGTTATTTTCATCGTTACCCTGGTCAACTCTTAAACTATTGGATTGTAATAGATCAATAGTATTATAATATGCTGAGATTTTCTCTCTCTCTCTCTCTCTCTCTCTCTCTGTGTTGTTTGAGTCTTCTTTGTTCTTCAGTAGTATCAAGTTATAAAACTATACTCATAGAGTTGTAGGAGAGGTTCAATACAATATAAATAGAGTATGAAGATTAGACTGCAATATCTGATCAAATTGAGATAATTTTAAACTTCCATGGTGGAGAAAAATTAGTGCTTTTTACCAAGAACAATTCTCACCAAGTGATTTGTGGTCAGACTTTGGTAAATAACTATCTCAGTTAACAGTGCTGATGTTTGTAATGGGTTTCTGATTCTCTGATGATCTAGCTAGACTCCTTGTTTTACTATAAAATTTATTAAACATATCACTGAAAACAGCTTAAAACTGCTCGTTGTTTTTGCTAGTCCAAACAATCTTCGGAAACACCCGTTAGTAATTACTTTTATCTTGTTACCTATAAAATTCCTTCTCTGCAATGCGAGAAATTTCCATAACTTCAAAGGTAATTTAAGGAAAAAATTAGAGAAAAAAAAAAAATCTAATTTTAAGAATTACACTGGAAGATAATTACTAATCAAATATACTACTATTTTTTCTCTCCAGAGTTTGGTGATAGCTTCAAGTCTATTAATATTAGAATTACTGAGTTTAAGAGTGCAGGCAATCCAAAGTTACCGAATCTATCTCATATCCGGGAATAAGTCGTCAAAACACAGCGCAATATCAACGGATTCTGGAGGTGTTGGTGATGGGAAACATCAAACATCAAGGTCTTCAATTCAGCAATTGCTAATCTAAGCCACTTGACATAAAGACGGTGGAGCTCAACTTATTGTACCATCAGGCAAATGGTTAACCGGCAGTTTTAATCTCACTAGTCATTTCACTCATCTCAGGTACATACTGATGCAGGGAACCAGGGGGTAACTCGTTCCCTCTAAGAATGGTGCGTTCAGCGGAGTTAAACAGACCGGTCAAACGAAGATAAACGTGCACACAGGACGGCATAAGCCCACCAATGACTGATTAATAAATGCCCACTAAGGATGGACGACGAACCCACACATGATTCTAAAGAGTGACCACAAAGATTACTTCAAAAATTTCTGTATATTTCTTCTCAAAAGTTGCGGTTATACTGTGAATAGTGCCCTTAAATAGGCGCACAAAAACCCTAACATAGTTTGATGCTATAAGAGAGTGTGTATGTGTTTTTTTAAATAAAGAACTAATTTTAATTATTCTAGTCAATTACTATGAAATATTGAAGGGAACCCTTATTTTAAGATATTACCAAATATACTCTCGATATAAGTTTTCATTTTCCAACAAATGTCTTTGACTTGGACTTAATTTGTTAATCACAATGCATATTTTTATACTTATATGATTATATTATTATGGACAGGATGAATAGGAATGGCCTATTGTTTCTGCGTTGCCGTCTTATGGTTATGGGAATTGAAAAGATTGTCGTAATGGAAGGTTCAATATAATGTCTCATTTTTTTGCACAAATTTGACTGATATTGTTACAGGTAACAATTAAAAATTTAAACTAATTTACAATACATTTAAGAATGTTTTATAGACAAAAACTTCAAACTAAAAAGTCCTTAATCTGGTTAGTTTGTTTCATTCCAAGGAGATGTAACTTAAAAACCGCCCGTTATTTTTGGTGGTCCAAACATGAAATAACCTTAAAGAACAATAGGTTTTCTTCAATGTCTATATAAAGTTCCTTCTTCTATACATTTTCTTAAAACCAAATTAAGTTTTCAAATCAAAATGGAGCTGTCCCCAAAATCAAGATGTTACCAGGTGAGGGTTTATATTTCCAATTTGTTGTCTACTTTGGCCGTTTAACATCATAATAATTCTAGTTCAATCTCATTATTACACAGAAAACACAACTACATGCAAAAATTTGTAATTAAAAATTCTTGATTTTGTTTTTCTAGAGATTATTGTGATTACCAGGTAATTAAATATTTAAATTTCGAATTACTCCTCTTCTTCTTGCCTCAATCTCGTAACCTATCTTCATTTTCTCCAGATAATTGCGATTGTCTCAAGCATTTTGATATTGGAACTACTAAGTTTACGGGTACAAGGAAGTAGCCAAGTGAAGTACTCCATCTCCTATCCTGCGATAAATTGTCGCAAACACTCTGCAGTGTTGACTGATTTTGGAGGTGTTGGTGATGGAAAAACTTCGAATACCAAGGCGTTTAATTCAGCAATTGCCAATCTGAGCCAATTTGCATCAGACGGTGGAGCTCAGCTTATTGTTCCTCCAGGCAAATGGCTAACTGGCAGTTTTAATCTCACTAGTCATTTCACTTTATATATTCATAAGGATGCAGTTCTTCTTGCATCTCAGGTATTTTTATTATTTTTTATTTCATATGTGAAAAAATATAATTAAATTAATATGTATTATTAGATTTATCAACCATAATATATTACATGTACAGGATGAAGCCGAATGGCCTCATCTTGCGGTGTTGCCCTCTTATGGAAGAGGAAGAGATGGACCTGGTGGAAGATTTAGCAGCCTTATTTTTGGGACAAATTTAACTGACGTTGTTGTCACAGGTAATACTAATTAATAAGAATTTAAATCTACATTTAAGCTACATTTAATAATGTATTATTTAACTATCATGCATAGGTGGCAATGGTACGATAGATGGTCAAGGTGCACCTTGGTGGATCAAATACCGTAGCAACCAATTAAACATCACTCGACCCTATCTTATTGAAATCATGTACTCTAATCACGTCCAGATATCCAATATAACTTTAATTAATTCTCCATCATGGAACGTTCATCCTATATACTGCAGGTTTGACCAAAAAATTTAATCCATATGATCTTATTCTTTTTTTTTTTGAAATTCTATATTTTAATCAAAACTAAAATTGCAGCAATGTGCTTGTCCAAGGCCTTACTATTCTTGCGCCAATTGATTCTCCTAATACAGATGGGATAAACCCAGGTTTTTATTTAATTATACATATAATGTCTCTTTTATAAGTGATTAGCTTATTCAACAACCATCATGAATATAATTCTATCTTTGGTGTTTTCAGATTCATGTACAAACACCATAATTGAAGATTGTTACATAGTCTCAGGGGATGACTGCATTGCAGTTAAAAGTGGATGGGATCAATATGGAACAAAATTTGGAATGCCAACCAAACACTTGATCATCAGAAGGCTAACCTGCATTTCACCGGATAGTGCTACCATAGCACTTGGCAGTGAGATGTCTGGTGGAATTAAAGATGTTCGAGCTGAAGATATCACAGCCATTGACACTCAATCTGGTGTACGGATTAAAACTGCTATTGGAAGAGGCGGTTATGTGAAAGATATATATGTAAGGAGAATGACCATGAAGACTATGAAGTATGTCTTTTGGATGACAGGTTCTTATGGGTCACACCCAGACCCTAACTTTGACCCAAAAGCACTTCCTGAAATTACAGGAATAAATTATAGAGACATGGTGGCTGAAAATGTCACATATTCAGCGAGACTTGATGGAATTCAAAATGACCCCTTTACTGGAATTTGCATTTCTAATGTAACGATTGGATTAACAGAAAAACCACAAAAACTTCAGTGGAACTGTACTGATGTTCAAGGATTTACAAGTCGTGTGACTCCTCCAGCCTGCAATTTATTACCTGAGAAAAAGGATAATACTGATTGCTTTTTCCCAAAAGATAAGTTACCCATTGAAAACATTGAGTTGAAGACTTGTTTCATGACTAAGTAGTTTGAGAGCGTGTACTTTATTGATATATCATATACGCAATTATTATTGATTTGTAAACTATATCATAATCTTCTATTGTTATAGAATAAAATGAAATGAGAATACGAGTTCGTTGTTTATCGCATTTTTTTTTTTAATATAGAAAAAAAAATAGAATTTATTATATGTTGATGTATAAAATAGTCTCTATAAAGAAATTCTTATACAGCTTGGTTTTATGACAAAATGATCTGCGATCGGTTTTACTATATCTAACTCTCTCTTGAACAGTTATGTTAAAAATCCTATTAAAACAAATATTATGTTATTTTCCTTTTTTATATTTATACTATTTTTTATTAAAAATATTACCCTTTGAATTTATGTAAAAGATATTATTATTTAATGTGTGTTTGGGATTGTTGTAGCTTAAGAAAATAATCAATTAAGTTTTAAGCTAAAGCAATAAAAATGTTTAATAAACTACTTGTAAACTGATTAATTTTGAAACTAATTATAAAATAATCGGATCTATAAAAAGATTCTAGAAGCTAGTAAGAGTAGCTTTTAAAAATTAGATTATTTTTAAGGCTCATTTTATAATTTATATTATAAAATGACAAATATACCCATATATAATATTTCAAATTACAAAACTAACTTAAATAATCATTTCATTTATTACAAGAATAATTTCATAATTTATTTATAAATTAAAAAAAATGAAATAGGACTGGTTGCTACCACCATTGATGGTATTCAACTGCCGATTGACACTAGTGAACAAAGGCGCGTTGGTGCCACATCCAATCCTTATGGTTTGAAAATTTCTGATCTATCGAAATCTGGTTGAATCACCAGATTCCGATATTGATTTTGGTTGTAGAAGGCGGCCAAATCTTTCTTCATCTTCTGTAGCCAAAATAT